GGAGAATTGCTTGAACCCAGGAGGCAGAGGCTGCTGTGAGCCGATATCACACCACTGCACTCCAGCCTGGAAAACAAAGCGAGACTCCGTCAAAAAAAAAAAAAAAAAAAAAAAGATAGATAGATAGATAGAGGCCTGAAAGCCCTCACTGAAAAGGTAGCAGCTGAGAAAAGGCTGAAGGAGGCGAGAGAGCAAGCCAGGAGAAGATAACTGGGAGTAAAAGAAAGGGTTCTGGGGCAGCACGGGGCCTCATGGCCCATTGTACGACTTCTCTGCAGTATATGAAAAGTCACCAATGGTTTTGTTACCAGACAGGGATAACATCCAGACCCCAAGACAGGGTTCTTGGATCTCTCACAACAAAGAATTCAGGACAAGTCCGTAAAGTGAAAGCAAGTTTATTAGGAAAGTAAAGGAATAAAGAATGGCTACTCCACAGACAAAGGAGCCCCAAGGGCTGCTGGTTGCCTATTTTTATGGTTATTTCTTGATGATATGCTAAACAAGGGATGGATCATTCATGCCTCCCCTTTTTAGAACGTATAGGGTAACTTCCTGACGTTGCCATGGTATTTGTAAACTGTCATAGCACTGGTGGGGGTGGCGCCATGTAGCAGTGAGGACAACCAGAGGTCAGTCTCATGGCCACCTTGGTTTTGGTGGGTTTTGGCCGGCTTCTTTACTGCAACCTGTTTTATCAGCAAGGTCTTTCTGACCTGTATCTTGTGCTGACCTCCTATCTCATCCCGTGACTTAGAATGCCTTCACCATCCGGGAATGCAGCCCAGTAGGTTTCAGTCTTATTTTACCCAGCTCCTGTTTAAGATAGAGTTGCTCTGGTTCTCACGCCTCTGACAGCTTCAGCAGCCAGGTGACGTGACCTTTCTTACATTTCCAAAGGAACACTTTGCCGTATTGAGAAGGCACTGGTGGGAGCAAGAGTGTAGGCAGGAAGTCAAATTAGAAGACTGTTGCAATGTTACAGGGAGGAGATGAAGAGGGTTTGGACCAGGGTGGTAGCAGTGGATAGTGTGAGGTGACAGCTGGATTCTAGATATATTTCAAAGATACAGCCCACAAGATCTCCTGATGGATTGCCTGTAGGGGTGGGAGATGAGGGGAGAAGAGTGAAATGACACCAAGGTTTGCTTGTGATGTTTCCCTTTGCAACCAAAATGCTGGGACCTCTAGTGGCTAAGATGGAGAGGACTCTAGGAGCAGCAAGTCTGTGAGTCATCCAAGTGGAGATGTGAGGTAGACAGGAGAATTTACATGAGTGGAGGTCAGAGAAGAGGTCCAAGCTGATAAGTCCTTGGTAGACAAGAGCGCAGAAATGTCACTTAAAGGCAAGAAACTGAGGGATTGTGTGTAGATAAATAGACCCGAGTTTCCATTCTGAACTTGCACTGTGGGCAAGCCATGACAATGATTGATGGAAAATCCTCTCCATTGCAAGGAAAGAAACGAAGTGAGAACTGTTATATGATGCCATCTAAGTCACACATTCAGCAGGTTAATGTCGTACAAATTGCCTGATTTGCCTCTCCCCTAAAAAGAAATTTTTAGTGCATTTTGTGGATTAGTCAGATAATTATAGACAGCTGCTTCCCTCCTGCCCCCAGCCCCCCAAATAGTAACATCGACATTCCTGAACAAATTTGGTACCTAGGGCACAGCTGGAGACCTCCAGGAACCAATGGGGATTAAGCTGGGGAATACAGATGTGAAGATATTGAAACTCTTGAGTTAAATGAATTGTATTTCATTAAGCTTTTTGATATTTAAAGAAGAGAATAAATCTATACATAGTTGATTGTTTAATCATTTAAACTCTTTAGGATTTCAAATGAAGGTGAGCACTTATCTGTCACCCATTTGGATGGGAATGTTTTTAGAATGTTTCCCATCCTGTTAAAAAATCACATGTATAAATACATATGTATATTATATATTATACAATATATACATATGTTGTATGTATATATTTATTCCTATGTATAAAAATACACACATACACATATATGTATATAGTATGTAAAAGTTTCATCCATTGAAAAAATATGGAACTGCATAAACAGTTATGCCTTTGTACACTTCCACATACAAAGAGAAGGAAATAGATAATTTCTGTATCCGTCTACCAATCCTAATTCATCTTTGATTAAAAAAAAGATACAAGTAGAATCAATGTTCTAGACTTTCATTGCATTTTCACAAATATCTTATTTAATGCTCCCAAGAACATCACTAAATAGTATTCATTGTACAGACTAGAAAACTGAGGCTAAGAAAGGTCAAAAGTCAACAAACAATAGAAGTAGAATGCGTTCCCTTCCCTTTCTCCAAATCTGAAAAAGCATTTATTCCTCGGCACAAGGAACAGCTGCTTACCATGAAATGTTTTTGTATTTAATAATAAACCCTCCCAAACATGGTCTGGATTCCACTAATAAAACTGCTGTTGTATTAGTTCCTAAAGAAGGTTATAAATGGCAAGACCATCCATGCACTATATAGTTCAGTGCATATTTCAGCAGGAACTTACCAAGTGCGTATTGTTCTAGACAAAATAAATGCCCTACCTCTCTTTGAGACTTGCACATGTTCATAGAATATACATGTCCCATGCTGTTCTAGGCTATATGTAGCCTAGATTAACACCACTAACATTCCTTCCTGTGGACAAATGGTCCCCATGCCAATTCCCTACAGCATCCTTGACCGGTATTTGCAGCCTCCATTAAAACTTTGGTTTGCACTGTGTTCTGGCAACTATGTAATGAGCCTCTTTTGTAAATCATACCATAAGCATATTTTTAAAATTAACTGGCGAGAAAACCAATGCTAACAAATAAGACCAGATTTATTTGATCATATTTTTGACCTTTTCTCTCCATGAGCAATAACCATAATTCGATAGATATTCTGAAGTCTGAATGTGAGCACAGACAAAAAGAATAAATCTTGAGAAACTATACTGCTCACTAGCATCCAAAATGTTATAAAATATAAAACAAATACAAACTAAACTGTATTTCTGTTCCTTCTGCTTCAAATATCTGTCCATAAATGTTGGCGCACACATAGGGCTATGTTGTGTCAATTGTAATAATTTACAAAAAATAATCTCAGTTACCACAAACAAGAAAGTGACGGTAACCAGTCTTTCAAATAAATTACCATGTGTCACAATTTGGCATAAACTCTGATCCTTATGAATAATTCATATTTTGTGCATTAATAATGCATGTCCTCTTCCCATTGCAATGCTCCCTAACAGAGAATGGATGTCTCGTACCAATTCCTTCCATTGACATGATGGAGTAAAGCTAAATTAGAATGGTGGGGGTTTTTTTAACTTACACCCCTTAAAATTGTAACAGTTGGCCAGCCTATAAGCATACCAAAAATAGAAAGTTCCTATTACTGCTTGCCCCTTACATGGGAGTCACTCAGTAAAGTACCCCAACAATGGGTGTTCTTGCAGATGAGAATATTTGCATAGCAGAAAAGAAAACCAAGGAAACTTTGGCAGAGCTGATGGAAATGGTGAGTTCTGTTGCATTTCTCCCTAATTACATATGTATATATTCACAATAACACAGGACATAATTGCTAAAACATGGTCACCAGCAGGGGAAAAAAAAAAAAGAAAAGAAAAAGACCAAAACGAATTAAGCAAGAGTTTTATAATAATTGTGGCTGTTCCTCCCCACAGGGCTTCCCTCTCTAGCTGAGTTTACTACTGTGAAATTTCTTTTCAGTTTTCAGTAGAAGTATCTGTCACATTAAAACAGTCCAAAGACTAAGTAAGAGAAAGATGCCAAATGACACATATTTGTAGAGAAAGTTATTCAATTTATCACTATCAATAGGGGCATTCCACACGATTACTGACATTACAATTATTTCAGGCATTACACTAAAGGATATTTTCTCTCCCCTCCCCACCCCCGCACCTCCCCACCCCCAGTTTTCACCCGCTATGTCTGGCCCAGACGCACAGGATCAACTAAAACAGCGACAACACTTGATAGGAGGCAAAGAGAAATGAGGGACCTAGTTTGAAATTTTTAGGAAATAAAAAAAATCATTCCAGTCTCTTCCCTTTCTCTCAAGAATTCTTTCACCATCATTCAGGCCCAAGGAGAGGAAGGGTGGGTTCTCTCTTGAAGCCTCCTCCAGGGAAGAGCCAGAGAGAAAGGGGCGAAAGAGAGGGAGTTTTAAGGAAGCAGCTCGCCTGTGTCAACATCCGTCCCCAAGTGCCCTAAGATTCATTCATTCTTCCTTTCAGGACCTATGTAGGGAGCACTTGCGCTACGCCAGGTATTAGGTTCCACCTAAATAACCCTCCCCTGGACCTCCAGGGTGTAACACAGCAACAGAAATCCACCACCCCGGCTTCGAACCAGGGAAAATCCAGATTCAAGTATCTACTCCAGTTGGCCCCGGTCAGAGGCCAGCCCGCACCGCCGTTGACACGACACCTGGGACAGAGGCGGGGGAGTCCAAAGACACCTTACAGTTGGCAGAAATCTCTCCCTGGGGTCAGAGGGCTCGAGACCTCTTTCACACCGAGTACGCGTGTCCTCCTTCTCAACCGGCCAGTCCATCCCCCGGAAAAGTTAAGTTGGCGGCGAGTGGGAAAAGAGGGGAACCGGGGGCATCCGGCAGGCACCCCCGCCCGGGTTTCTCAGCTCCAACTTCCATGGCTACCGAGAAATATTTATTTCGAGTAGATGGGCTCCAGTGGCTACTGAAGCCCAACACGCGGCCACCATCAGAAAGCCAAGTCATCCAAGAGATAAAGATAGATCCATTACATACCTAGACGCTGGCCTTACAGTGACAGCCCCGGAGACGCGGGTTTCGGCTGAGAAAGCCACCGCGTAATTCTCCGGCCCGCGGCCGGGGACTCTCCGTCCACCCTCCAGGGATGCTGGCTCAGGAAAGAGACAATCGAACCGGCGAACAGCAACACGGAGAGGATCGATACTCACCCCGAGGCGTCTGCTCCGGATCCTCACGTACCCTTGCTTCACTATGTCATTAAAATTGGAAGCCATCCCAGACAGCCGGTGACCCCCCTTTACCCAAGAGCGCGCACCCGAAGTGGCTTTGGGGAGGGTGGAGGGCAGGGTCAAGACAAGCAGTCGGTGGGAGAAAGTTGGAGAGGTGAAGCTGCTTCGGCGGCGCTGGGCGAGGCTTTAGAAGACGCACATCACTTTCTCTGTCCCCCCAACCCTGAGAGTGGGCGTCCAGCTTGCAGCCACTTTCGGGGAGCGCAGAGCGCGGCGCGGGGAGGCGAGGCTGGAGCGCCGGCGTCAGCTGACTTCGCGGCCGGCCTGCCAGGAGGAGGAGCGGCGGCGGCTGAGGGATCCAGCCCTGCCTCCTCCCGGGGCCGAGAAGGAGGAGGAGAAGGAGGAGGAGGAGGAGGAGGAGGAGGAAGGAGGAAGAGGAAGGAGGAGGAAGGGGTGGGGGACTGAGAGGAGGAGCCGCGCGAGTCCCAGCAACGGGCTGCGGCCACCCGCGAGCAGCCGCCTTGGAACGCGCTCCCCGCGCCTCCCACCCACCTTTCCCTCCCCGCTTCCCCTTCCGATCCCTCCCCTCCTGGCAGACCCAGAGCGTGCCCCCCCCCCCCCGCCCCTGCACCTCGCCCACAGCCTACGGAGATAGCGCCCGCTCTCCTCGCTCCGGTGACTTAGGAGGAGAGGAAATTTCACTTTTTTCCAGCCGCCGCCTACCCCGCCTCTCCCTTCAGCCCCTGCTCTTTCCCCGAGAAGGGCCGATGTTGCGTGTGTGTCTGGGGAGAAGGTGTTGCCGCGACTCGCCTTGACCTTGGCATCTGAGGAGAGCGATATTGTCACGGCCTTATCTAAATGCGCCCTTGGGTTTCCTTGGTGTCAGGGACCCAGCCCTCGCTGGTATCATTTGCCACAGTTTCCCTGTTTGAGCCTGTCTTTCCCGCCTGAATGTGTTTCCCAGGGGGCTGAGACTTGACCTCATCACTGTTTGTCCCCAAAGCCTGACCCTAGAGCAAGTGCTCAGTAAATCCTTGTGGTTATCAAGATGGCCACCTGGGTGCCAGGCACTCTCCAAGCCTTTCGCGTGGATTCACTCATTCAAACTCCCCTGCACTTTTTGAGGTAGGTGTCCTGTTATGTACATACCAGGCTCATATTTAAGCCTCCTTAGGCTGGCAATAGAGCTCTCATTGCCATTATGAGATACTGCCTATACAACAAGATGAAGAAGGGGACTGGATTTCACACTCACCTGCCCCTGACTGCATTACCTCCCTGAAGCATACTTGATTGATAATTGCTAGCACACATTGAGCACCAGTGTGCTGGGCATTGCGCTAATCTTGTTAAGGGAATAATGAGTTAGGTACCAGCATCCACACTTTACAGACTGAAGCGCAGAAGAGTTAGGCCCCTGGGACTTGCTAAGGTCTCACAGCTGGCCACTATCAGAGCTAGGATTGAAGGGAGGTGTGTGTGGTGCCCAGCTCTGCTCCTAAACATTCTCCTATTCCTCTTCTGAAGAGCAGATCTCACAGAAAGAGAGGTTACTAGTTGATTTCCAAGGAAGATCTTTCTAATCATTTGCACTATTCACAAAGGCAAAGGTAATTATCAGAAATGAGACAAAAATTCTTACTCACTGGAAGTGACCAAGCTAAAGCTGGGTGATCACTGCTCAGAGCTATTGAGAAGAGGATTCAGTTACTAGTGGATTGTTTGACCTGATGACATCCACAGGTCTTTCAGCTCTAAGACGATATGAATCTTCCCAATCTCACTGGGAACATTAGCTTTTAGTCACCTTGGCTTGATGAGTTTCAGTTAAAGAACAGAATCCCCCAAGAATGTGTCATAGGAGAACCGAGACTAAATGGGGACAATCAAAAAGGAGATATTCTGGCAGGGAGAACTATTTTTGCTACGTAGTAAACCATCTGTCTTCATGTTGCCATTCTATGGAAAATGATGTTCTAATTTTAAATCTCTCGCCAAAAAAGATGAAATGGTAAAATCATTTGGAGAGCTCTTTTTGAAGGATTGGAACTTAAAAAAAAAAATGCTGCCCATGGTTGCTGTAAAATAGAGGTGTTCGTGGAAGACATTTATCTAACACATCGTTTATAGACCAGATCCACAGCATTATAGAAACAAAGAATAAAGAAATCAAGGCATAAGGAGCTTGAAGTGAAGGACCCACAATAACAGAAATAATTACTGACAAAAACTGAAAGTGAGAAATCCATCTCTTGATAGTTAATGCTGACTATAATCAACATCCATAAATAATTTAACTGGAACTGAGGAAACTCGAATCAAACCAGAAAATATCAAGCTAGATGTGAAGGAACAAGTGATTTCTTTTTTAAATTGCAAGACTGAATCCAATATATGGTTTTGTTTGTTTGTCTGGTGAAATCAAATTGACATACATGCAAAACATACAGACTGTGATATACTATTCACAGGACATTTACACTTGTCCAAATTGTGCAATACACAGCCCTGGCAGCAAGGGAAAAGAAGCCGGGCGCGGTGGCTCACACCTGTAATCCCAGCACTTTGGGAGGCCGAGGTGGGCGGATCACCTGAAGTGGGGAGTTTGAGACCAACCTGACCAATGTGGAGAAACCCCGTCTCTACTAAAAATACAGAATTAGCCATGTGTGGTGGTGCATGCCTGTAATCCCAGCTACTCGGGAGGCTGAGGCAGGAGAATCACTTGAATCTGGGAGGTGGAGGTTGCAGTGAGCCAAGATTGTGCCATTGCACTTCAGCCTGCGCAACAAAATCGAAACTCCGTTTCAAAAATAAATAAAAAAAAAAGAAAAGAAATGGAAAAGAACCATTCACAGAGGTAGGCGATGTAAGCAGCGCTTATAGAGTTCTACAGTGCACAACTTGCCTAACCACGTGCTGCCAAACAAACATACTGTCACACATGATTTAGTTTTACTGGAAATGTCTGACCAAAAAAAAAAAAAAAAATACTATTTCATTCCGTGTTTTGAACTCAATTTTTGAACATTTAGAGTTTCTTATTTGTAGTATGCATTTCTGTTTGTTTCCTCAGCATCCAGACTTTGTTCTTCCCGTAGTAGTCACCATTTTCACTTTAAGTGTACTTACCCCTGTTTCCAGCTCACATGTGCAGCCCTGTCCATGGCCTTCCTTTGGACAACTAGTGGTTGGTGATTGGTTCAGACATGGGCACATGACCTAAGCTGGCCAATTAATAATGAATTGGGTTACTTTTACTGAATACTGGGAGGAAGATTCACACTCCAGTTGAAATGGAATCTGGACGGAAGAAGCCCAGGAGCTGCTGACACACATCATGAGACCCTAGGGGAGGGCTTATCAAAGAGTGAAGGCCACGCTAAAGGAGCAGAACCAAGACATAAAGAGAAGCAAATGATAGATCCTGATGACACTGTTAGAACCCCTCTTCCAGCACCCCAAGAAGTTATTTAAATAGATGTGAAGCTTTTGTAACAACTAGACTCCAAAATATAATGATTTAAGATGGATAAAAGTTTGTTTATTTTTCATGTAACAATCCAGGGAGGATAGTTTATCCTGGGCAAGGAGGACACTTAGTCCTATAAGGCCACCCAGGGATCCAAGCTTGTTGGTCAACTCTGGCACCTCAGGACATGGTTTTTCATTCTTGAGTCTAGTTATTGTCTGATATGGTGTTTCTGTGTCCCCACCCAAATCTCATCTTGAATTGTAATAATCCCCACATGTCAAGGGTGGGGCAAAGTGGAGATAATTGAATCGTGGGGGTGGTTTCCCCCATACTGTTCTTGTGGTAGTGAGTAAGTCTCATGAGATCTGATGGTTTTATAAAGGCGGGAGTTCCCCTACACAAGCTCTCTTGCCTGCTGCCATGTAAGACATGCCTTAGCTTCTCCTTTGTCTTCTGCCATGACTGTGAGGCCTCCCCAGCCATGTGGAACTGTGAGTCAATTAAACCTCTTTCCTTTAGAAATTTCCCAGTCTCAGGTATGTCTTCATTAGTAATGTGAAAACAGAGCAATACCCTCTCATTTCCCAGGAAGCAGGAAGAAAACATGGAGGGAAAATAACCTTCTAATAAAAATATGATCCAGATGTGTCAAACATCTCTTTTTCTTGCATCTCATGGACCAGTGTTTTGTCACATGGTCACACCCAGCTCCACAGGAAAATGGAGAATGAAGTTTTCATTTGGGCATGGTCTGTTACTGAAAGAACAAAATGAATCCATAGGCTGGGTGAGGTGGCTCCCGCCTGTAATCCCAGCAGTTTGGGAGGCCAAGGTGGGCAGATCACGAGGTCAGGGGATGGAGACCATCCTGGCTAACAGGGTGAAACCCCATCTCTACTAAAAATACAAAAAATTAGCCAAGCGTGGTGGCAGGCGCCTGTAATCCCAGTTACTCAGGAGGCAGGAGAATGGCATGAACCTGGGAGGCGGAGCTTGCAGTGAGGCGAGATGGCGCCACTGCACTCCAGCCTGGGTGATAGAACGAGACTCCATCTAAAAAAAAATAAGTGTTAATTGAAATGAAATGAACATGAGTTTAAAAGACAATACACATAGTAGCACTCTTATGTGGTCATCTTATTGATAGGATACAAAAGTTATCATGCACTCAAATAGAACCTTCTAACCATAGGATTGCAGAGCCAGAAATTAATCCAAGGGTCATCATCTACCACATTCAAAGCAGAAATCCACTCCAGCTTAAATATATGGACAACTTTGGCCCTGCTCTCTGAATTTCATTCAGCCCGTTACCATCCTTATCATTGTCATTATTATTCTTTAGCTATTGAGGGCAAGAAATTATGTACAAAAATCCAGAGGCTTCTACACTTTTCTAGAGCAGGTGATGAGCTCCCAAGCTTCACCAAAGGAGGCTGTGTTTTCACCAAGTACCACAAAGCACCAAGGCTGAAGCTGGAATGGCACTTTTCCAATACCCTTACCAAAAATAACTTGAGCTTTGGCCCCACTGCCTGCTGCTCTCAGTGTGAGTGTCACAGAAACATATGCGGCCTTTCCTCTGGAAAGGTGAGACAGTGCTCATGAAAATGACTTGGCTATCACCAACAAGGGAGGTGATTTGTTCTACAGCCAGCTCTCCCCTCTACCGGTCCTCAGCCAGTGAAAGAAGAATGACTTGGAAGATGACATCAAATCAGGTAGGAGAGCCTGGGAACAGCTCTGCTTCAGTTCCTCAATGCTTCATTCCTTCCTTTCTGCATTTAACAAATACATATTGGGTAACTGCTATGAGCAAAGATTGTCCACAATAAACTTTGGCACACACAAACATGCACACACACACACACAGGGACACATGGATAAAAAAGGTTCCCATCCCCATGGAGCTTATGTCTCAGTAAGAGACAGAAAAATAAACAAGTAAATAAACAATGTAAATAGCTATCGATGGTGGTGAAAAGGAGTCAGCAGTGTGCTTTGTAAGGAGTAACAAAGAATTCTACTTCAGATAAGAGAAGGCCAGGGAAGA